CCCTACTAACCTAAATACTAAGTGTCATATGACCCATTAACTCTGGTTTTCAACTATTCATGAAACTATTTTGTCCTGCAGACTTATTTCTGCCCTTAAAACACCCAAAATGTTCCAATTTACTACATATTTTACTATATACTTCCTCACCAATTATTTATAACATCAAAATTTGATAGTTTACTCAAAAATCCCCTTTATTAGCAAAATTTGTATCCTCATTTTGGAAATACCCTAATGAACAAACAAAAAAAGACATGCTATATGATGCCTTTACAATACATTTTGCAACTCATTTATCAAAGAGCCAAGATGTCAACCTGCACATTTGTTAGCTTTTAAAACTAAGATCTGCCAGCTGAAACTTGCATAACAATTATACCCATGCAACCTTGTGTATATTGTAATATTTATCAAGAAAGAATTATACATATTTTGTATTTAAGAGGCTCTGCTTTTAACCTGTTGATAGATATACTTTTATACCTTTTATTCTTTTGTACCATATTACTCTCATATGCAAAAATCTCCAAATGTACAAAAATGTACATTTTGTCATAAAGTCTTTACATGTAAGACATCCCTTCAAAAACATCTACCAAAATGTAAATATCAACATAGTCCCTTAAACAAAGAAGATGTAGAGATTATTCCAAAAACTGAATATTTAGACGAGAACCAGATATTAATTGTAGAAATGGGAGAACAGACCAGAGATGTAACTCAATTAAATGATATTAAACTAGAGAATTTAGAAACAGATATAGCTGAAGTGAGTCTACCTACTACCAACACAGAAGAACTGTTTGTTTGTAGTGAATGTAATATGGCTTTTATGACTTTAGAACTGGCTCAAGACCATATTTTAACTTCTCATTCACAATGAAAAATAAAATCATAAAATATTGAGTAAGGTCTCTGTCACACGTCAGTAAACACGTCAGACCCGTTAGCATATACGTCAAACACATCAGTAGTTCTTGGTTCAAAAGTATGACTTTTTATGTCTAAGCATCAGCATGAACATTTCTGCAACACAGTTTAAATATTATTGTTTAATAAATTATTGTGATACTGAAAAAAAAAAAAAAAATCACGTCTGCTTAACACGCAGAAGGTCACGAGTTCGAGCCTCGTCGAAACCTCGGATTATTTTATTTTTTGACCATTTTTCAAAACTAGGATATAAAATATGCTGTGTGTGCTTGATATAATTCTTCAGTTGTCTAACACAATTGCAGTGCATGGTTCGATTTAAGGATGAATCCCGCTACCATCAGGACGTATCTTGTCGGGGGTGTAGCTCAAATGGTAGAGCGCTCGCTTAGCATGCGAGAGGTACCGGGATCGATACCCGGCATCTCCAAGCTTAATTTTTTTTCTTAATGCTGCACACTTGCTGCTACTCTGGAGGAGAAAATACCGCTCGCCCTTTTTCTAAACAATTTAATTTACTATCTCCTGTTTAAGAAATAAGAA